ATTTTCCTTGCTCTCGATTTGTCTCTTTGTCCCCTCCCCCCCCCCCCCCCCCCATAAAAATTTGATTTGATGTTATTGCTTATTTATAACTTATATACGCTTAAGGGTCATTCCTAAATGAGGTCACGCTTTTTTTGACGATTTTTACCTCCGCCCATCCCCTCCGTCACACATCGTCACAAAAAGCCAGACCCCTTCTACAATCACGTAACACCTCAGCCCACAATCTCCACCCCCTCAAATTGCAGTTGAATTTTTCTTAAAGCATCGATACTTTTCCAAAATCTTGTCTGGCCTGTCAACATAGAGTATTTTAATCAATTCCTATTACAGTTTATTACAAACAGTATTCTAAAACGCAAAATAACGGCTAAAATTAGTTTTCTAACAATTGCTTTTTTATAATGCGAAAGTGTGACGTCCCCTCAACCCCTTCCCCACCTCTCCCCCTCATCACACACCGTCATTTATGGACGACCGCTTAATTTATAATTGTTAAGTATTTTTTAAATTTTTAATTTAATCGAATTTTTTAATTTTTTTTATATATGTGCAAGCTTTTATGACATGTGACAAAAAAAAAACGAAGAGAAATAACTATTTTTATTTTTTAAATAATGGGCAATAACTCCGTTAAAACAGTTTATATTCATTTGATGTTTACATTTTTGCAGTACATTACACAATATTGGTTTTCTTTTTATTATTTAATTTATATTAAACTTCTAAAGTAAGTAAGCCTACTTCAATTTTAATTTTAAGCTATTTAACTTGAAAACTCGATTTTAGTCGCCGAGATTCCGCCGGCTTACGGGGTTTACAATACTTTACTGTTTATTGTTTAGGGCCTATTCTCTACACACTAAGGAGTGATTGCCGGAACGACCGACACAATTTTGTAATAAGCCTAGATCTATATTATTATCTATCTATTGGGTTAGGCCTATATTATAGATTCCGAAATTCCCATACGCCTATTAGCCACATTAACCCAAGGCATAGATCATATTCATAAGACATAAGATCTATAGATCTAGATCCAAACTAGATCTATTACCACAAAGGAAAAAAAAAGCCATCCGCAAAAATTAAAAATATGGTAGCTTTTTTTTAGGATTTTCAAAAACTTCTAATAATAGAATAGTTTATAATACTAATTAAACACTTTGATCGATTTTAAAAAAGAGAGGCAATTTTTACACGCGAAACATTTCCCTATGTGTTGGCACGGTTAGGTTGTTTCGGTTGCAAATTTCAGCGCTTGCCGATTTCCCCCATTCACGCGTTTCGTTGTTTGATTCAATGGGAAAGTATGTGGGAGGGAGCGGCAAGGAGAAAAATAGTTCATGAAAATACCGATTCTGTAATTAGATTTCCGAATTTCGGCAGGCTATAAATTTGCCAGTAGCAAGATACACATTTTAAAATTGATATTTAAAGCTATTTGAATATATACATTGAAACAGTTTGTGCTGATTTATTCTAGTGTACGTAAATAAGGAACTATATATTTTACGCGGATTGTGTTAGCCTATGCAGTGACTAGAATTCTAGATCTGCTCATGCAATGGCTGATTGAAGACAGTGTCCTGTGAAAAGTTTAGTGAACGTTGTGTAGATCTACTAATTTTTTTGGACTCTACATTTAAACTGAACTTTTCTTTTTATTGTAACATATAATACGTTAGCTTGGAATATGCCTTGGAGGATAAGTTCTGTTATACTGGCCTTCTTGTGTCTGAATGGATTAACTATCGCTTATTCTTGGGATAAAACCCCTCATGAAAAGGATTCTGAGGTAAGGGGCCTAGGCTTAGATTTAGAAATTAACACTTATTTTAGATCTAGACTAGAGTGACTAGACTAGGCTACTAGAATCTAGACTTTCTACAATCTAGACTAGATCTAGATCTACGTCTAGATTCTAGTCTAGTCTGGATCTAAAATCTAGAAATTAGACAATAAATAAATAGGTAGATTCTAGGCCTATTAAATTAATTTTGTAATCTAGATTTTACTTTAGAGTTGAGTTTGTTTAGTAAAGTTACCAAGTAAAGTAAGAGAGGTTTAGAAATTTAGGCCCTAGCATTTTTCCTTTTTTGGCCTAGCCAATCCTATTTATTTATTTATTTAGGCCTACAAATTGAAATCTAGATCTAGTCTATTAGCCTAAAAGCTTTTTTGGTCTAATCTAGATTCTAGATTTCTACATTCTTGACTTGATTTAGATTTTCTAGATCTGGATATCATGATTTTTAGATCTAGACTCTAGTCTAGATCTAGAAATAGGCCTATAATTTTGTTCTCGATTCTACCTGAAGTAGATGTAGGGTTGGCCTCTCTCTCTCTAAATTCTAATAAATTAGGCCACAAGAAAATCAAATGAACATAAAAGGAAAAACAATTTAATACAGATTTTGCGATTATGTAACTATAGTCCAAACTTAGTGTCGGGACCTAATAGCCACTTCCTAATTTAAATCGATTAAAATAGTTAAATCTAAGTGGTCGTCCATAAATGACATCACACTCATAGGTAGCGTCGTAATTTTGTGATAAATCAAACCTGTGAGGCCTATGAAATTGAAAGATATTAGACCTACATAAAATATATTATCTGTGGGTCGATGTCCTGGTACTTGGATGTGGAAGAAGGAATAATTGATTTGTAATAATTGGTAAATGGTAGGATTTGAGTTGTTGGCTTTGTCATTGCTTTTTCTTTTCTTTTTTTTTAGTAGCATTGTAAATAAAACATGTATTTTAACCAATGGTTTTACTAACCCTGCACTTGATTTACGCTACGACAGAGCTATTTTTAGATAACATAAGGAAATTGCGCTTAAATGTCACTAGACTTTTTAATTAACTTGTTTTAGTAGTTATGTACCTGATTGTTGAACTTAAACTTGAATAATAAATGTTGACATTCTACTCTTTATAATAACTTTGTAGGCAATCATGTGAGATTTTTTCAAACTTTATAGGCCCTACACATTCATCTTTTCGTAAAGTCATTTTTAACGTTGGCTAGTTAAGATAAACTAAAAGTATCACACTCTTCTGTTTATAATGGACCTAATTATTTATAAAGATATGTAATGTAGTTATTTAGTGTTGCCTTAGACGACCATAGTGACAAATCAAATATTTTCTAAAATTTTAAAGTATAGCTGTCTTCATAATAATAATCATATGATAATATTATTATACTTGAACAAATGTGGTTTCTTTGGGTTGGCATAATTTTAGAACTGTATTTCAATTGTGATATCTATGTATGTTAATTTTATGATGCTCTTTTTATTTATATTTAATTTATCAATAACATTTTAAATTCTGCTCACATGATCTCTTTGGGTGTTAAAAATAATTTTTATCAAACGCCATGCTGGTATGTTTACTTTAAATCTTAATTACACAGCCCACACTTGTACAATTTTAATAGGAATACATTATAGGCTTTAAGTTTGCGGGGGGGGGGGGGGATACAAATGTAAAATGGTTTTTAATTCACTAAACTAGCTTAAAAGATTCTTGTTCAGGGATGACATTTGGAAGTGCTGATTTAATTGTTTGTGTATTATAGTAAAACCATTTGCTATGGACCCACATGGTTTATTAAAACCTGTGTTTTAAAGTAATTAGTAATATTCTGGTTGATGAGCTGTTGACAAACATGGCATCCTTTGTTACAGCACATGGTTTTTAAAAACCTGTGTTTTAATTTGTCATATTCTGTCTGATGGGATGTTGACAAAACATGGCAACCTTTCCTTTGTTCTCATTCATTTGGTCTGGTGTAGGACAATGTGATTGTCTGTTCAGCAAGAAACAGAAAACAAAAGAATATATAGTTTTATTTTCTGGGTATTGACATCACCTTTAGATAAAGTGCACATATAAAAATATAAGGGTTTTAAAAATCCTTTTTGACTAATCTCAATTACTATAACCCATCAAGCCCATCACTAGTTATTCTAAATTAATTTTGCAGTAATCACTTTTAGTGTGTGATTAATTATACCATTCTTCTGTGTAAAAGTGAATTTTGGAAGGTTTTAATTAACTTGAAGTTTATTTTGTTTGCAAAGACGTTTTTTATGACTGGCTGTGTTCAAGAGGCAATGGACATTTTTTTTCTCCATCTAAGCCTGAATTTTACATCTTGATATAAAAGACTTGATATGGTAAAATGGAAAAATACCAACACATTAAAAAAAAATCAAAACACTGATATGACTATTACAACACTATTCCTGGAATCCCACCGATATTTTTTTCTTGTGGGCCCACGATATATTTCCAGGTAGACCAGGGATCCAGGTTACTTCTGGTTGCGACTTCATTTAGATATGAAAATGTCCTTTTATTATGACAAAATCACATAAAAATCTTATTTATCATACAATTTTATGATCTGGTGAATAAATGGATTACTCCACCCTATAATGAAAATCATTACCCTGGTTTTTTTAAACTGTGTAGCAATTGCCTAAATGTAAGCCTATGTAAAACGTACACATTTTCTATTGCATAATCGTGGCTAAAAATATAACCTCCCGAATATAAAGACTGGTTGGTTTATTTATGTTTCACTGATTTCTAAATGCGCGGTGAAGAAAACGGGCCATCGTGTTCTCTCCCCCCCCCCCCCCCCAACCATCCCAGTCAGTGTCGTCACAAACAGGAGCGTTTAGAATGGGCGTCTGACAGAGGACATACTGGATTAACATTGCGTAGCTGCGTTATCAGCGTTCAGAGTTTTCAATGTTGCTGGAGGGTCCATCTTGTCAAATGTCGATTATTTATAATGGCAATTTTATCGCCCATAGTTGTTTTTTCTTTCCCTTTAAACGTTTTGATGTGTTTTTTTCTTCTTCTTTGTTTGATGTCGCAGCTGATACAAAAACATGTAATCATTGCATATATTAACTACACAAGACTTTATTTCATAAATTTATTTATGGTCGTCTTTATTATGAATCACGATGGAGAGCAATGAATGGAATGTGGTTTAATCACTGGTTGAATATTTTCTACTCGGTTGGTCCAGGCGTTTAGAACTTGCTTTTATACTAACACATCGTGGGTTTTCTCTGGGTAAACTAACCTTATGCCTGTATTTAACACTGACTCAACTCTGATGGAGTACGTTTGCTCCCCGAGTATCGAATTTCTCTTCAGGAATGGTTGAATACATTTCCTTCAATGTCTTTTTAAAAAGTCATTTGTTCGGTAGACGATTCGTCACAGAAAATTAGATGTTGAGACTTTCTGGTGTTTGCTTTATAGTCCCTTCAAAATTCTGTCTTATAAAAGTACTGGAGCTTCTCTCTCTCCTTGAAATGACTGAGTTATTTAAGAAGAAAAAAAACTTGCACTACACGACATACAGAAGTGTCTCATATGTAATACTGTGTATTGTATAGATTATGAAAACCGCGTAGGATACCATTGAATTCACGGGCGGGGCGAATTCACATACTGTTCTATGAACATATTGAACAGCTGACTGCACGTATTTATTCTAGTTTCCTATGAAAAGCAGTGTCAACCTACCTCCGTTCTAACTTATTTTTACCCCCATTTGTAACCAGCTGATCGTAACAGCTGTGTATATGTCGCTTTATAACGATGCCATTTGGATTTGTTTCAAAGTATTCGTGCATTTAACCGAAAGCAGCGATGCATTCAGCTGTTAACTGCACACAAAAACCATGCATAATTACTGCGTTGTAATTAGCAGTAATAAGTTATTAGCGTATGTAGGTAGGTTTCGTCTGCGTGACTAACCTAGCATATGTATTACAAAACTATAGATCTACGAGGGTATAAATATTTGTCAATCTCGCGATCATTTAATTAAATGCTCATGATTGGTTTTTTTTTTTTAAATCTGTGATTGCCGTTTCCACATTATCCCCTGATTTCTCAGCGATGCTATCACGCAGGCAAACCTGCTGTGAACGTAATACCTGTTACCTTTTCGCTGAAACCTCGCATGTTGATTTACATTCGATTGTGTTTCTCTGTTTTTTTTTTGTGTGTGTATGTTAAATCGTTGTTTACACCGGTCTCAAGAGAACACGGCTTAGGCATCTTGTGTGCATTTGTATTCCCAATGTTTTAAATTTTTTAAAAGCTTTGTATTTTCGCACAACGTTTACATGGAGGACTTGCCAAGTCTGAAGAACACATGGGAACAACCACAGACTTAAACGATCAAAGCCATCTGACAAGCATTGTTTATGTCCACTGAAAATGTATCCCTGTATTTAAATGTTTTTCTCTTTAAGCATTATTTTAAATCGTAATATATCATTTTAAAATGGGGAGTTGTTATTGCTAATATCTTGTACAAATTCACATCGGTCTGTTAGCAATGTGTGAAGTATTTATTTTTGTGCGTATTTTGATTTACATGTCTAAAATGTAAAAGCTATTTGCATTAGCATCTAGCTATGTTTCGTGTAGGTATGTTTAGGCGATAACCGAGAGAAAAATAACAAAGTTTGTAAACAGTAAGTTCAGATCGTGTTGATAAATACACTTGTCGGTTGTTGTTTTTATTTCGTACTTGCTCCGGTAGAGAGACCATATTGCATTCATCAGAGCGCCCCCGAGTGACTGGTTGTTGTATTTACCTCACCGTGTTTGTAAACCACCCGTTTTTTTGCATTGTTCTAAGGTGGTCTTGCTGTGTTAAATTAGGCTGTCTGTGCGCGTCATCCAGGGTGGTCTCCCGCCGAAGATAGTAAAACCACCCCGCACTTCTCGCTCCTACCAAGTCCTGGT